TCTTTTTGAAGGAAGGTCTCCCTGTAGCCCCAGCTGTCCTAGAACTCACTATGTAGACCAAGCTGGCCTTGAACTCACAGAGATCTGCCTGCCTCTGCCTCCCAAGTGCTGGGACTACAGGCGTGCGCCACCACACCCAGCTAGAAGATTTTTTTTTTAAAGCAATAAATAGGGGGCTAGAGAGATGGCTTAGTGGTTAAGAGTACTCGCTGCTCCTGCAGAGGACCTGGGTTTCATTCCCAGCACCCACATGGCCGCTAACAACTGTCCTTAACTCCAGTTGCAGGGGGTCCTATGCCTTTTTCTGGCCTCCACAGGCACTGCATGTACATTTAGGTATATGCAGGCAAAATACTCATAAATAAATATAAATGTTAAAATAAAAATAACAAATCAAAAAAAAAAAAACAATAAATACGTAAGGTGTTCATTCGTCACTATTTAATAGGTCAAGGTTGGCCCTGAGTTCAATCCACAGCACTGTAAAGAAGAAAATATAACCAGTGAGAACACCACTCATGCACAAGAATGGTTAAAATTTAAGAAAATTGGAAACAACAAGTGATAACAAAAGTACTGGAAAACTTCCACATACAAGTACCCTCAGATGAGTTGGCTCAGCAGTTAAGAACACTGGTTGTTCTTGCAGAAGACCCGGGTTCGAATCCCAGCACCCACATGGCAGCTAACAACTGTCCATAACAACAGTTCCAAGGGATCTGACAGCCTCTTCTGATCTCCATGGTACACTTACACACATGCAGGCAATACACATACACATAAAAATAAAAATATTAAAAAAAACAAACAGTTCCAGACCATCTCTGTAAAGCAAGTATTACAATGAGTTGCATGAATTGTTTGCTTTCTCCCATTACACATAAAAGCTATGTTTATACTATACTATAGGCTATTAATTATGCAATAGTAATGTATGAATAAACAGAAGTACCTTAATTTAAATTTTTTTTAATTAAAAATACACTTATTGCTAAAAAATTCTCTAAATCACCTGAGCTATTGGTGGAAAAAAAGCATCATGGGACAGGAGAGATGGCTCAGCAGTTAAGAGTACTTGCTGCTCTTGTGGAAGACCCAGGTTCAGTTCCCAGCATCCATGTGGTCCTTTGGTCTTTTTAAGACAGGGTCTCCCTATAGACCCAGCTGGCCTGGAATTCACTATGTAGACCAGGCTGGCCTTGAGCTCACAGAGATCCCCCTGCCTCTGCCTCCCAAGTACTGGGATTAAAGGTATGTACCACCATACCTGGTGGCTAATAACTGTTCTTAACTCCAGTTCCAGGGGGGGTCTCTTCTAGCATTGCACACAAGGTGCACTTACATATGTGCAGGGAAAACACTCATACACATAAAAATAAATCAAAAAGAATGTTTTAAATAATAAAGTCAGGTTTGTCTCAAGATACAAAGTTGTATAAAACAATAATTATCAATACTGGCCACAAATTCTTTAAAAATGATCTATTTTCCTTTACATTCATCAAAAAGTGATTTAAGCTCAGCATAGTAACTCCCATCTGTAATCCCAGACCCTGAGAAACTGAGACAAGAATGGACCAAACCTGAGATACACCTGCTCCACTTGTTTGACTTGTTAGGGCAGTGAGTCTAAGATTAGCCTTGGGTATGGAGAGGAACCTTGTCTTCAAAAAATAAAAAAAATTTAAAAAGGCTTAAGAGCAAAATGTTTCAATAATTAAAGTGAGACCACAAATTAAAAAGTCTAAGAATTTATAAGCACCTGATGTTACTGTAAAATAATTCCACCAGGACATAGTTTAGTGTAAAGCACATCCTTTAGTGTACATGAAGCTTTAAGTTCTATCATCAGCACCAAAAATAAATAAACACAAATTATTTAAAAAATTTCAGAGAGGGGCAGTGTGATGGTTTAATGAGTAAAGGCACTTGCTATCAAGCCTGACAATATCAATTCAATCCCCAGGACACACAAAGACACATACAGACACACACAAAAACCTGAAAAAAGCTGTGCATGGTAGGTAGCACATGCCTTTAATCCCAGCACTTAGGAGGCAGAGGCAGGTAGATCTCTGTGTGACTGAGGCCAGACTGGTCTATATAGCAAGTTGCAGCCCAGCTGGGGCTACAGGGAAACTCTGTTGAAAAAGAGAAAATCAATCCCCAGGACACACATTGTAGTCAGAGATAACTGATTCTGCAATTTTGACTCAGCAATTTCTCCCCTGACCTCCACACAAGTGCTGTTGCAGACACCCAAATACATATACAAAATACATATATAAATTAATGTAATTTAAAACAATTTCAGAGAAATTAGTTTGAACATAATCAATCAAACTAACTAAATTTATCTAAATTAAGGTTCACAGTAATAATACTTAAGGCTCCAATTACAGATTCTAGACAGAGGAAAATTATAACTCACCTTGAAAGGTTGATGAAGTGCCATTTCTTTCAGGAGATGGTTTGCTTGGACTACTAAAATGAGGCGAAGTTCCTAGTTTTGCGTCACTGAATGTAAAATTCTTTGAGTGGCATACACAAGAACAAGATGAAGTCATCTCAGCTGTTTTATTCACACCTTCATCCACCGACTTCCCTGCAAATGAAAGAGCTTCTATTTACCATATATCTAATTACATAAATATTAATTATCCTCTGCAGGTAGAGTAAGCAACCATCTCAGCTTACCAAGGACTGGAAGGTTTCCCAGGGTGCTAGATTTGGGGGATTAAATCAGAAAGGCAATCTTCCAAGCAAACTTAGACTACCTTAACTCTATATACAATATCAAATCAGGACAGGAGCGAAATGCTGATGCCTGAAGTGTGTATAGGATTATCAATTTATATAAACTACAAAAATCTAATAAACTAATAACATAATAAAAGTACAACCAATTATGTTTTAATTTATATCAAGATTTATTTAAAACTCAAGGGGCTGGAGATATAGTTCAGCAGTTAACAGCACTGACTGCTCTCACAGAGGACCCAGGTTTGATTCCCAGCACCTACATGGTGACTAACAACCATCTGTAACCCCAGTTCCAAGGGATCCAACACCCTTTTCTAACCTCCAGGGACATTACACAACACAGATGCACTTACATACATGCAGGCAAAACACTCATATACATAAAATAAAAATAATAATAAATTTCCCATAGGAACCTGATATCACCAACAGTAAATAACACCTAGAAAGGAGTTTTTTGTTTTGTTTTTTAACAAAATTCGGTTGTCTGCCAGTCATGGTGGCACACACCTTTAATGCCAGCACTCAAGAGGCGGAGGCAGGCAGATCTCTGTGAGTTCAAGGCCAGCCTGGTTTACATAGCAAGCTCCAGGCCAGGTGGGGCCACAAGGAGACCCTGCCTCAAAAAAAAAAAAAAAAAAAACTAAGTAACAAAGATTACATCTTCTATCACCTATAAATCCTGATACGTGTATCAAAATACATTTTAAGATCAATATTCAAATTCAATTAAAGAGTAATTCTGACACCTAAATACAAAATTACAGTATATCTACACTGTGTGCCCATATGATATACAAATAAAATAACTAATACACTTTTTAGAGCTAATCAAGGGGCTGGAGTACTGGCTGCTCTTGCAGGGGGTCTGGGTTTGGTTCCCAGCACCCACAGGGCAGTAAACAACCATCCATAACTTTAGCTCTTGGGATATGATGAGCTCTGGCTTTCACAGGTTTTGCAAGCACTCAGTGCACAAACATACATGCACACAAAACATTCATACACATAAAGCAAAAATAAATAGATCAAAATATAAGAAGCTAGCAAAAAATAAATATGATCATGCATACTTGGTCCCAGCACTTAAGAGGCTGAGTAGAAGGACCTTGAGGCTGAGGTTAGCCAGGGATACATAGTAAAAACCCTGCTTCAGAAAAGGAAAAAATGATAAATGATCAAAATACATTCTATACATGTATAAGAATGTCATCACAAACCCATTATTATGTATAATTAATAGATGCTAATAAAAAAATAGAAAAAGGATAACAAATTAAGATAAATGATTTGTTTGTTCTTTTGATCTTTATGAGACAGGGTCTCCCTGTAGCCTCAGCTGGCTTGGAACTCACTATGTAGAGCAGGCTGGCCTTGAATTCACAGAGATCCGCCTGCCTCTGCCTCCCAGGGCTGGGATTAAAGGCATGCACCACCACACCCATCGATAAATGATTTTTTAAATATACTACTGACATTGTTCACTCATTTGTAGCACAAAAACACTAATTTCAGATAACTGCCATTAAATTTCAATTATTAACTGGTAATCTCATTTCTCTCCAAAGAATAACAATGAACAATCAAAAACTTGTAAAATATTTTTTGTTAAAATAAATCTAATTTTAAAAAACTACATTAGGCCAGGCGTGGTAGTGCACGCCTTTAGTCCCAGCACTTGGGAGGCAGAGGCAGGGGGATCTGTGAGTTCAAGGCCAGCCTGGTCTACATAGTGAGTTCCAGGACAGCTGGGACTACATGGAGACCCTATCTCAAAAAGACAAAAAATAAATAAATAAATAAATAAAAAATTAAAAAAGTATGTTATTATTTGTTTGCATTTATGGGGGAAGTGTTACACGTGCACCACTGCATGCATGTGGAGAACAGAGGACAATTTGTAGGCGTTAACTTTGTCCCTCTACCATGTGGTTCCCAGGGATGGAACTCAGGTAATCAGGTTTGGCAGTAAGCACCTTTACCACTGTACCACCTTTCCTACCACATTCTTAACAGTAATACATTCTTGTTTTTCTTTTATTACATTTATTTGTGTGCATGTGTGCAAATCCTACAGGAGCATATGGAGGTCGGCAAACAACTTGAGTGAGTCAGTTCTCATTCTACCGTGGGGGTACTTTTGGGAGATACATGTTTTTCAAGGGGGGTGTGGGTTGAAGGAGGGTCTCACTTTGTAGCCTTGGCTGGCCTGAAATTTGCTGTGCAGGCTAGGCTAGCCTCAAACCTGCAGCAATCCTCTTGTCTGTCTTAATGAATCCTAGGATTACATACATGCCTGGTATGGAGAATGTATTTTGAGGAAATGTCTTGAAAGACATTGTTTAAATCAATTAGAACACGGTTGAATCAATCTGAATAAGGAGTACTCCATTATATTTTTCTCAGACCCCAACTAGCAGCATGCCGACCTCAAGAACTACTTACCACTAAGAGACTGCTGCCATGCTAAAGTAGAACAAAGTAAAGCTAAGCTTTTTCCACTTCCTGTGGGACTCTCCAACAAACAATGCTGCCTACTGTTTAGTCCTCTAACAATCTGTGAACACAAAAACAAATTAAAAATAAATACATAAACATAATCTTAAAATTTCTAAGGTCAGAGTTTAGTCAGCTAGTTTAAGGAAAAAAATATATATCTAGTCAAGGTTTGTCTGAGAACATTTGGTTTTTGACCCAAGCTTTATCTTCATAGCACATTGTATTAGTCACTTTTCTGTTGCTGTGATAGAAACACTGACCAAAGCAATTTATAGAAGGAAGAGTTTATTTGAGCTTATGGTTCCAGGGGAATTACATTCCGTCTTGGCAGGGAGGCATAGCAGCAAAGGTGGCTGGAGGAAGAGCAGTGGAAGCTAAGCTCTACATCTTCAAGCAGGCACAGGAAGCAAGAGGGCAAGTGGAGATCTGACAAGGCTTACGAACTCTCTAAGCCCACCCCCAGTGACATGCTTCCTCCAGGATAGCTACACCTTCTAAAACCTCCCAAAACAGCACCACCATCTGGGACCAAATGGCCTATAGGGGACATTTTCATTCAAACCACCACATACATGGCAATTAAAAGTACCAGACTGACAGAACTAACCTTATTGGATGTTTTACAAACATACTTTGAGGCCTATACTAATCTGGTCTGAGAGACTTAAAGGACAGTTTTTGCCCTTGCCCTCCAAGATCGACTAAGTTTCAGGGGACTATAGAACATCTCTCAAAATGTCCTGTAACTGTGGTGAGTCACCTGTCCTCTTGTTCAGAGAGGACAAGGAGACCCCACCAGATGGACTTGAACCAGTGTCCAGTCTACAAAGAGGAGGGTCAACTCAGAGGGAACATTTCCTCCATGATTCCAAGTGAAGCCAGCCAAGGTTGAGTAGGACCTTTGACTTATCTTCACATAGACGGAACTAGTAAAAGAAAGGAGTCAGGGGCTCCTCCCAAGCCCATGTGACCCCTAAGGAACACCTTCAAATGACCTTAAGTGTAAAAATAAATTGATTTATTTGGGCCAACTGTATGGTCTTAAACATCCGAAAGGAAAACATAACCAAAGACTAAAGCCATCAGTATATTTAAGAGTTCACAGGATTACACTTCCCAGACATTAGGCTTAAATCCATATAAAAAGTTGTTTAGACAATTATTTCTCATTGATGATTTTGTTCCTAATCAGAAAGTCCTGCTCAGATGTAAGACTTCAAATCTTGGTCTCCAATACTGTAGTGCCCACCTGTAGCTAAGGGAGACAACCCGCTATTGTTCTAAAATGATGGATAAATTTTTCTCACCCTATCTAGAAGCTTTTGAGAGGGAACTGACACTGATTCTAACCACTCCAACAGCTATCAAAGCGCCTGAAAGCAAATCCTGAATCTATCACTTGATAGACAAAAGAAAAATGAGGAGGAACCCAATAGAGGGATGCTTTTGGAAGCTCTCATCAAGAAATTCCAATGGACTCTCATATGAACATTTGAAATTTTGAATTTCTGACTTTTTCCTGGTTCCCTGTCTAGAACTTGTAATGCTAATTACTCTTGCCTTTACTTCTCCTTCACATCTCCTATTCACCAATAAAGGACTTTCTTTTCCCCCTACAGATGAGTTATGCAATCTGGGAGTCTTTTAGATAGATACATTGAAGGGGTACCCCAATTGCCTCACCCTGCGTCCCTGTTCAGCATGGAGGAAGCCGGAGTGGTCTGAATCCCGATTTCCTATCCACAAGTTAAGTAACCTCTTCAGAGTATGGTGTGATAAGAATAGGAGGTAGGAATTGGCTAGGCAGTTAGGGTAAAAATACCCCAAAGAAAAGTAGCCAGTTTCTTGGCTAAAAGTCAAAATGTCCTTGGGCCTCTTAGCAACATACTCTGTTCCAAAGGCCAAAAATGTTCAAAGTACTTGGGAGCTTAAAGATTTTAGGGTTACCTCTTCAGAGGGGCAAATGTTAGAGTAGCAAAAAGTTCCATTTAAAAAAAAAAAAAAAGAAAGAGTACATGAAGTTATCAGGAAAAAAGTGATGGGGAGATATGGGAGGAGTTGGAGGGGAGGGGATGGGCATGGATCTGAGCAAAACATCTTATGTGCATGTATGAAATTCTCAATAAATTATTTAAAAAATAAATAATTATTCAGTGAATGAAGGACCAGGAAATTCATTTCCAGGTAGGAGAAAGGAAAGGTAGAGGAAATGGCATGATAAAAAGAAATACTCCATATTCTTTTGATGAAAAGAATTAACATATTTTCAATGTATTTTCTAAATTTAGAAGACAAGATCTGGAGGAAAAGCATTTGCAATAATGAAACTGTCTAATAAACACTGCATTTTATCTGTAATTTATAATCACTTTTATTTAAATGTTTTATAAATATTTTTTAAAGCTCAATGTGTTTTCAAGTGCTTCAAAATACTGAGGTTATTTTGGAACACTTCAAACAGCTTTAAAATCTTCTCTCAAGAGCTGGAGAGATGGCTCGGTGGTTGAGAACACTGACTGTTCTTGTATAAGACCTGGGTTTGAATCCTAGCACCCACATGGCAGCTAACAACCGTAGGTAACTCCAGTTCCAGGGGATCCGACAGCCTCTTTTGTCCTCCACGGGCATTGCACAACACAGGTGCACTTACCTACATGCAGACAATACACGCATACACATAAAATAAAAATAAAAAATAAAATATTTTTAAAAAATCAAAAAAATTTTCAACTCATCAGCAAGCTTAGAAAATAAACATTTAATATCCACAATATTTTCAGATTGTGCTTTAAGATATTTGGATTTAGGGGATGGAGAGATGGCTCAGCGGTTAAGAGCACTGACTGCTCTTGCAGAGGACTCAGATTTGATTCCCAGCACCCACACAGTGGCTACAAACCGTCCTTAACTCCAGTTCTAGGGGAATCCAAAGCTCTCTTCTGTCCTCCACGGCATTGCACAACAGGGGTACACTCACATACATGCAGGCAATACACTCATACACATAAAATAAAAATAAATAAAATATTTAAAATGGGGAAAAGTTATTTGGAAATAGTTCTAAAAGCCAAATGTCTCCAAATGGATTGTTTTTAAATTTAGAGGTTTTTGTTATCATGTAGGAAAAAAGAAAGAATAAATCAAATGTTTCCAAGCCAAAAAAATAAATACATAAATAATTACTTTATTAGGTCTCTCTCCCATTAGAAGAACAAATAGAACAGCAAGGAACAGTTAGGTGGCACTCCAGGAAACAGCAATAGCATAGAAAGAACTAGAATTTTGTTACTCTAGATTATTCCTTTATACTTCTTCCTAATATTCTGTTGGTTTTACAAGTCTATCAAACTCATGAAAAGAAGAAAGCAATTTATGTTTAGTTACACAAGTACCAACTGTTTCAAAGAAAAAAACTATAGTACACTAATACTTAGAGATACCATTAATGCAAGCATACATTTAGCATACATTGTTACAATCACTTTGTATAGAAATAAAACATTCTGTAGTAAAAATGAAAATGTTCAACTCCATCAAGTCCAGCCCTAAGTATATACCCCAAATCCTAAGTGAACAAGAGAAAGTACAAGTAAGACACCTCATAATGGCTTTGGTTACTAATTCCAAGAGAATATGAACAACTCAAATGCCCACCAACAGGAAAATGGATAAATTATGCTATATCCATACAAAGTGCCATATTGTAAGCAAAATGATTTAACAACAAATAATGATATATCTTAAATATAATGTTAACACAAAAAAAAAAACTGGTTGGGGGCAGAGCTCAGTGGAAAAATAAGAGTCTAGCTTCATAAAGCTCTACGATCAATTCCCACCACCACTGTTTCACTTGTTGCTATGTTAAAAGACCTTGACAAAAATTAACATAAGGCAGAAAGAAGTTTATTCTGCCTATAATTCCAAGTCACAATTTATCATATCAGAGAATTCACAATGGCAGAAGCAGGAAGGAGCTAGTCACATCAGGTAACGAGTAGAGACATGAATGCATACATGCAAGCTTGTGCTCAGCTCTATTTCTCATCTCTTACACAGTTCAGGACCACTGCCTAAGGAATGCTGATGCCCATAGTGGGCAGGGTCTTCCCACATCAATTAACATAATTAAGACAATCCCCCACAGACATGTGCAGGCCAATCCAATATAGATAGTCCTCATTGAGACTCTCTTTCCAGTTGTCAAATTGAAAAAGCTAACCACACCACACACCAAAAAAAGTTCTGCAGGAAGACAGGCATAGTATTTAACTGCACAAAGTTTAAACATATGTCAAATAATACTGTATTATTGTTTATGGATAAATACATATAAAACTAATCAGAAAAAGAAAAATTGGATCTGTATTGAACAAGCAGACTTAATTATTTCTTCAATAACTACATGGTTATAAATATTACAACTATTTATATAGCATCTATAATATATTAAGTACTATAAGTAATCTAGAGATGATTTAAAGTAAATGAGAGGTTGATATAGACTATGTGGAAATAATGTACCATCTTATATAAAGGACTTGTGCATCTACACATTTGGTATCCAAGCTGGGTCCTGGAACCATTCCCCAAAGCATGCTGAGTTAAAAGTGTTTGGTATAGAAGCATGAGGACCAGAGTTTGTATCCCCAACACTCATAAAACAAGCCAAGCATGATCTGCACACACCTGTAACCCCAGTACTGAGGCAAACAGCGATAGGATTGTTAGGGCTTACTGGCTGCCAGACCAGCCAAAAAGAAAAACAGAGCCTCCAGGTTCATCAACAGATTCTGCTTCAAAGGAACAAGATGGAGAGTGATAGAGAAGGACCCTGATACAAAGACCTCTCAAACCACAAAAGGCGTGGTGGCGCACACCTTTTATCCCAGCACTGGGGAGGCAGAGATCTTTGTGAGCTCAAGGCCAGCCTGGTCTACATAGTGAGTTCCAGGCCAGCTGGGGCTACAGAGAGACCCTGTCTCAAAAAGACCAAACAAATAAATAAAATAATAAAAACAAAATAAAATAGAGATTTGCCTTTGGTAGGCTAAGGCTGAGATCCTAGCAGACAGCCTGAGTGGGTGGGTTTGGACCTCCATTGGGGTAGTGGCTAGGAGCTTAGCAGACTGCCAGAGAGTGCCGGATTCTGGCCTCCCTCTGACCTCCAACTAAGAGGGGACTGCATGACAGCCCCCTGATCCTGCCTCCACATGGTGGTCCTTTTAATAAGATGATGCTATACAGCAGTCCCTTATGCATGAAATAACTATCATCATCACGACATCAGCTGAGCCTGATCACTAAACAGTCACAATTGGGCTTGCTGACGGTTGTGCTCATTCATTAAAGGAGTGCCAAGCAGGGTCACCGGACCCTCACCTGAGTATCCAGCCACTCTTCCCAGAAAACTATTCCAGCCTTGGAAGACAAAAGTTTTATGTATTTTATAAAGAATATATCAAATGATCTTAATTATCTTTATGGCCCCAGCCCCATCAGCATGCCCCCCACTCCTCCCTCAACTGGAACCCACATACTCTGTTATCCGTATTAAGGCCCAATGTGTCAAGTCAGTGTTCCCAGATGTTCCCCTGTGCAGGTCCATCCACTGAGGGAGGCCTAGTCAGCCTATATAGAGTCTCTTGTTTTAGCAAGATGGGGGCGGAAAGATTGTAAGAGCCAGGGAGAAGGTGCATAACCATATGGAAACAGTCTTACAAGCTCCTGGGACACTGCTCATATAATTCTATGACAATGATATCAGCATACAAAAGTCCCATGCAAACGGTGCCAGACAAAAACCCAGTCTAGAACTGGGGAAATGGTCAGCAGACCCCAATCTTAGCTGAGGAAACACTGGCAGCTGATTACTGCTGGGAGAAGAATAAAATACTTGTTTATATTTATTGATCTTTTATTTGGAGAGCTCTGAAATCATCGTGTTTTGGTTTGCTTATTAAATAAGGCAGACCTCAAATTAAATGTTTGTTCTAGTTACAGAATCAAATGGCCATTTATATGTTATCAAGTGTAAAAAAGCTGTGCCGGGTGTGGTGGCGTAGGCCTTTAATCCCAGCACTTGGGAGGCCGAGGCAAGCGGACCTTTGTGAATTCGAGGCCAGCATGGTCTATATAGTGAGTTACAGGATAGCTGGGGCTATAGGGAGACCCTGTCTCAAAAAAAAAAAAAAAAAAAAAAAAAAGTTCCAAAGGAACCGAGAACATTTTTCAGAATGTTCTTCCTTACATCCTAACCAGACATACAGTTTAGTAGTGATCATATTACTTTCCTAAAAAGTAAGTGCTCTTCCAAATGAATCCAGGAAATATTATCAATTATTTAGTATCTGAGGATATAGTCACAAATCTAGCGTGTACTATGTGTCAAAAGTAGTTAACTTTTTTTTTTTTTTTTTTTCTTTTTGAAACAGGGTCTCCTTGTATCCCCAGCTGTCCTAGAGCTCACTATGTAGACCAGGCTGGCCTTGAACTCAGAGAGATCCGCCTGCCTCTGCCTCCCGAGTGCTGGAACTAAAGGTGTGCGCCACCATACCCAGCTAAAAATAGTTATCTTAATAAAGACAACTGCTGGAAAATACTTACAGAATTCATCATAGCAAGTTGTGCTGGATAAGCTTTACAAGGGAAGTTAATCTTCACCCCACCAATTGTGTATTCAGATGATACTGACGACATTCTGCTTTCTTCTTTATTTTAGATTTGTAACTGCAATGGAAACAGTAAAATCAATACTGAGGGACTCAAGAGAAGGCTCAGTGGTTAAAAGCACTTGCTGTACTTCAGCTCCTAGTACCCACAGTAAGTGGTTCATGACTGCCTGTAACTCCAGTTCTAGGGATCCAACACCCTCATCTGGTCTCCAAGGCACCAGCACTCACATAGCACACACTGACATACATATAAATAAACATGAATAAAAATAAAAATTAATCTTTAAAAAAAAAATCAATATTGGCCAGGCCTGGTGACATACACATTTAATCCCAGCACTACAGAGGCTGTGGCAGGCAGATCTCTGTGAGATGTAGGCTAGCCTGCTTTAGCAAACTCCAGGCCAGCTGGGGCTAAAGGGAAACCAAACAAACAAATCAATACTGAAACAGTATCATTTAAAGAAAACTATACATCTAGCAATAGAGATGTCTGGGAACAAAAATCGGAATTAATAATTGCATAAACAAAAGTAACAGAAGTAAAAGAATTTCCTATTTTTATAAATAAATCTCAGTGGTCAAGAGCATGTACTAGAGTCTGACTTCAGACAAGTTACCTAACTTTTCTAGAACTCAATATCCTAAGGTATAAAATAAGGCATTGCACAGGCAATACACTCATACACGTAAAAAAAATATTAAAAAAGAAAAATAAGGTTAGTAATAGGTCTACCCCAGAGGACATTTGTGAAGATTAAACAAAATCATATAAAAACATGATAAAGGGTTGGGTGTGGTGGCTCACACCTTCAGTTCCAGCACTCATGAGGCAGAAGCAGGTGGATCTCTATGAGTTGGAGACAAGCCTAGTCTACACAGTGAGTTCCAGGTCAGCCAAGGCTACAGGGAGACCCTGTCTCAAAAAACAGGCTACAAGTGGATGGCAGATGAAACTCAAGCTCTTGTAACAATTTATATCAGACATACTAACTCTACAGACACAACAGATTTCTGAGGTGATGCTAATACTCCATAGCACCATTCTTTTCTCTTATTTTACACATTCCTGTTTACCTTTTTCTTCTGTTTCCCAGTCAGAAGGAAAGGCAGCAAACAAGGAATTAAGACCCATAGGTTTTAAAAGGCTGTAAAGATGGGCTGGAGAGTTGGCTCAGCGGTTAAGAGCACTGAATGCTCTTTCAGAGGACCTGGGTTGCATTCCTAGCATCCACATGTCAGCTAACAACTGTCTATAACTCCAGTTTCAGAGAAATCCAACATCCGCTTCTGACCTCCACAGGCACTGCACAACACAGGTGCACTTACATATGAGTGTATACTCATACATAAAATAAAATTACATAAAACTTGTTTAAAAATGTTTTAAAGGCTGTAAGATACATTATCTTTTTAGCCGGGCATGGTGGAGCATGCATACCTTTAATCCCAGCACTCAGGAAGCAGAGGCAGGCAGATCTCTGTGAGTTCAAGGTCAGACTGGTCTACATAGTAAGGTCCAAGTCAGCTGGGGCTACAGGGAGACCCTGTCTCAAAAAGACTTTTAAAAAAGTATCTTTTTAATTCTCTGGTCTAGGATTCTTATCTGTAATGCCTAATTTTAATATGGTTGCAAGCAAGAAAGTATCTTGGCACAATAATTCTTCTTAAATTTTTTTTTTTTTGGTCTTTTTGAGATAGGGTCTCCCTGTAGCCCCAGCTGGCCTGGAACTCACTATGGAGACCAGGCTGGCCTTGAACTCACAGAGATCCACCTGCTTCTGCCTCCCAAGTGATGGGATTAAAGGCATGCGCCACCACACCCGGACCTCTCTTAAATTTTTATTATATTTAATTTATTGTGTGTATGGGGGGGGGCCATACATGCCATGACATGCATGTTGAAGTCAGAGAACAATTTGCTGGAGTCAGTTCTCTCCCTCCACCATGTGGGTCTCAGGACTCAAACTCAGTTCATCAGGCTTGGCAGCAAATGACTTTATCAATGAGCCATCTCGGTGGCCCAGCACATTAATTCTTAAAAGTTAGTATACTATAATGGGACGAAAATGGACTTTGATAGGAAGGTATATCTAAATTTGAATTCCACTGTTCAAATCATCTAACCTCTCACATCATGTCTCTTCAGCTATGCAACTGAGATAATACAAAATAACTGATAAGATATGGATGAAAATTAGACACAACCACAAGTACTTAACCCAGTATCTGACCCAAAAGGGGTTCATGTAATCCTCACCTCACCACTTTTTTATACCTAGGACCCATGGACATAATTCAGAAACTGGGGCCTCTTAAAATTGCATATAGATGTTTCTGTGCATGGTTGCATTTTTCTGAGAATAATGTGTACAAATTTCTTTTCCCATAAATATATCCTAAGGAGAAGCTAGAGAGATAGCTCAGGGGTTAAGAGCACTTATTGCTCTTGCAGAGGACTGGGGTTCAATTCCCAGCACCCACATGGTAGCTAACAACCGTCCGTAACTCCAGTTCCTGCATTTACACACATGAAGGCAACACACTCATATACATAAAACATAAATTATATATATCTCTCCCCTACGGAAATTGAAAAAAAAATAGGGAAAATTTTACAACAGTGAAAAAGTCGGGGAAAGGAGATGGTTAAGAGATTATTCAGGCCAGGCTGGTGGTGCATGTCTTTAATCCCAGCATTTGGGAGGCAGATCTCTGTGAGTTCAATGCCAGCCTGGTCTACAGAGCTAGTTCCAGGCCAGTTAGGGCTACAAGGAGACCCTGTCTCAAAGACCACAGAAAAAAAAAAAAAAAAAAAAAAAGAGATTATTCAACAGATTATGAAGTCAATAATAATTTTAGCCACAGCGTCTGTGCTCCAAAAGACGAACCACTATTCTAAGATGTTTTCCAGTTCTAAACAGTATTGTCAGACAGGACCTGGAGCACAAGACCTGGACTCGGTAAATTACAGAAAATTTTCTTTAAAAAGCGAGGACATGGAGATGGGAAAGGGTCTTGTCTGGGGGCGGGGGAGGGGTGGGTATGACCAACACGCATTGCATGTATGTACAGCACTGTCAGAGAATAAAAGATACTCTAAGCCCTCCAGCGGTGATTCTGTTGGAACACAGGCTCTAACGCCTAGAGGTGAAGCAAGAACTCCAGGCTGTTTCACTCAATCGCAGTCTAGTCCACGTCCCCGGCTGGGGCACCACGCCTCTAGAACGCCCCAAAGGAACAAACGCGCCTCTGGGCGTCCGGGTGGACCTGACCGGGCTACCCTCAGGCCTGGGCCGGGGCTTCTCTCGGGCTGCGCGGCCCCCAGGCCCCCGGGCCTGGCCGTCCGCCGCTCAGGCCCGCCCAGAGCCCCAGGCGGACGGCGCCCGCCAGCGCGCTCCCCCGGACGTCCCTCCCACTTGCCTGTGTCAGGCGAAAGCTGAGCCGCGCGGCCGGCTCCGAGTCCCGGAGAAGAGGAAACGCGGCTCCGAGAGGGAGGTACGCGGGGCCCGGCTGGGGAAAAGCCCGAGAGTGCCCGCAGCCCGCCGCTCCCGCCCCGCGGTGCCCGTGGCCCCTTCCTCTCAGCCACTCGACTTCACGCTCCACACTCCACAAGGCACAAATTCGCGCCTCCCGCCCCTCGGTTCCCAGGGCCCAATCGTCGGGCGGCCTCAGACAGCCAATCACTCGCCAGGATGAAACAGGAAGCGACCAATCGACGTCGAGGGTGGTGCCGCAGCACCCAATGGAAACCCGCGGAGTAAGAGCTGACCCGGGTAGTTGGCGGCACCGGAAGGCAGATCTCAGGGAAGGACTGGGGCAAATCTCAGGGCTTGCTTAAAGAAAACGCACCAATGGGTCCCCTAACATTTTGGACTTTAGGGAACCTGATTTCACTCAGATGGCCAATTCCCTGATGACTGGCAGACCCACGAATAGGAACCGTCTTTCCGTTGTGCTAAGCCTTCCGAGCATTCAGTACAACTTCCCAGCTTTATAGTAGCAAAGATGTGGGAAAAAAGTGCGGGAAGAATTGCCCGAATAGCTGAGAAGGCCCGGTGACGCCAGGTACAATATTACCTAAAATTCAAGGCCTTCTCGGGTCGTAGACCTTGTCTCCCTAGATCACATCTGCCTCACGTTAAGACATCGGCCTTCCATATCATGCTATTCTTTGCCAAGTACAATTTCCTCAGAGATAGAGGGTGAATCATGACCCTGTCAAGTTTTTTGGTCTTTGAGTTTTTCGGGTTTTTTTTTTTCATTCTTTATAGCCTAAACTTGACTCAACTACGGAACAAAGCCTGAGGCAGCTTTCTTAAATTCATCTAACTAGTTTAGAGAGGAAGCAGAAGGCTGATTTGTTTGCCTCACTTTCAGTTGTTTTACATCTTCCTAAAATGACACAACTTGTAATCATGAAAAATAAATTCTGCTTTTGACCTAGTAACCTCAGTGCGAGAAATTTTAGCCTGAAGCATAATCTAAAAGTGATAATACTTCAATTGACAAGTGCCTATTTGTAATACTGAAAAAAGTTATAAAGTCCTTAGTCTAGTAATGGAGAGATGGTCCTGATCTGTCAATTCAATAGATTAGAAAGCCGATAAAATGATAAAAATTAAACTACGTCCAAGACAAAAATGCCATATTGTTAGGTTTAAAAATGCAGACTCTAAATTGTATTAGGAATTCATATGGTAATGTATATGAGATAAAGATGGAGTAATTTACTGTTAAGAATATAAAATCCTTAAAATACCTTCAAATTTACTTTGCTCTTACTTGGTTTTTGTTTGTTGGCAATGCTGAGGATCAAATGCAGGGCTTGCACATGCTAGACAAGTGCTTTGACCAAGCTACATCTCCAGCTCTCCCAATTTTTTAAACATATCAAATCTTTTAAATAACCACTCTGGGGCTGGAGAGATGGCTCAGCGGTTAAGAACACTGGTTGTTCTTGCACAAGACCTGGGTTCGAATCCCAGCACCCACATGGCAGCTAACAACTGTCGGTAACTCCAGTTCCAGGGGATCCAACAGCCTCTTATGTCCTCGCAGGCATTGCCCGATACGGGTGCACTTACCTACATGCAGGCAATACACTCATCCACACAAAAAATAAATAAATAAAATATTTTTTTAAAAAAATAACCACTCTGATTTTCCTCATGTAAATTCTCGAGACCTGCAGTTGACTCCAACCTCTCACTGTCAGTGTATGTGGCTACCAGAAAGGGACACATGAAAGCCCTAAAACTAGCACTCCTAGGCTGCAGTCCCTTGTAATGTTCTTTTACATTAACATTTGTATAATAAAACACAAATAACAGTCCATTTGATAAAGAATTTGAATGTTTATAAATCAATATTCAAAATAGTTGCACACATCTGTTTTCACTTTAATAAAAAAAATCACATTGTGATAAATTTTATAACCTTAACTTAAGATACATGAATATTAACATTTACTAATAGTATTTACACATTTATTTACATCATCAACAAATCAGATGAAAAAGAGCATGTTATTATTTTAGCACAGCAGGTTATAACCAGTCTTTGAAAATTGATCTAGCAAATGTGTACTGCATTTCTTTACAAAATGTACTTCAAACATTTCTGAATTCCTAAAGGATACTATTCACACAAAATATTCCAGAAAGGCCTCATTTAAAAACAAAACAGGAGCAGTTGTATTTAATCTTAAGAGACTACAAAACTGCTTTGTTTAAAAATATGAAAATTCAATGGTATATTTAAAGCATATTCTTGTACTCTTCACATCAAAATTACTTAACAGTAAGCATCTAATAAAAAGTTGTATTCTTTCATGCATGATACTATGCACTTCATGATTGAAAACGGCTATAAACTTGTTTTAACAGAATACCCTTATGAGGTAGGGCCAGGAGTAACCCCATTTTACAAAGAAGGAAAATGAGATGTGACTGTGTTCTAGTGGAAAGGCTGGAGCTAACCTTCATTTCTTAAACAAGTCAAACTTTCCTATTAGCTTGCCTACCTTCTTGTACAAGAGGTCTGTTTCAGTGGAGTGGGAATGATTGAGGTATAGCTCACACAGCAAAGAGAAGTACCTTCTACATTGGACACTTAATTCTTAAAATGTGGTCATGGTTCTCTGAATGCATCTGCTTAACCAATGGAAGTTACCAACAGAGGACTGCAACCTTTTTCAGCAATACAGTATTTTCCACACTTAAATTTTTCCTGAGGTTCAAACACTGTATATATTTTCTTACTCAAATATCATCTCAGTAAAATGTGCATTATAATCCTGATGACAAACCAAGAGCTCTTTTATCTAGTGGGTTTTATTGCTCTAAAATTCATTTAATTTGATACATCTTCACCCCTCTGAGAATTCGATAAGTTAATAAAGCATTATAAAAATAAGTTTAAAAAATAAGATAAATGAGATTTATTTTCAGGTTCTTCTTTGCACAAAGATGTTTCTGTAAATACTTTACAATCAGTATCTTAAAACTCCAAATTATTCAAGTATCTCTTTAAACATATGGCTTCATATATTAGGAAAAACTGAAGCAAATATGTGAAATCTTGACATCCTCATGTGTAATTCCAAGACAGTCACATTAAAAAGCCTTTTTACTCTTTCTTGCAAACTAGAATTTCAACCTGCATTACTATTACTTGCATTGCAAGTCTGCGATTTTTGTGTATTTAACTCCTCATTTTTCCTAAATTCTCTACATTTCCCTATATTCTTTTTTCTCCCTCCTACCATTCCAAATCTTTGTTGAGAACTGTTAAATGCTCGCAAACATGAGGGCTCTCCAAATGCTCATTTTTATAAGAAATTAAATTAAAGGCCTAGCAAGCTTTCTTTACTTCAAAAGCTTCTTCAGAAGGCCTGATCCTTTTCTAGTAATGAGTTTCTTAAATGTGTTCCCAATGGAAAAAAAGTTCAGCTGCTACAGTATAAACATGCCATCAGTGCAGATCCAAAGATATGCCAATCAAATATAATCAAATATAATTCTCAGAGTTCTAAATTATATTCATGTTGAACTGAATCATTTCAGCAATTCCAAGATATCATTGTTCCCATTCTGTTTAGAGTTGCTGTAAGATGCAAATTCCTGCTGGGGATATGCAGCAAACAGCTTCACCTTTTCTTTTCATCTCCCTTTTCAAATTCCACTAACGCTCATGTTTATTATTTCAATTATTGTGCTTTCAATGCAGTGACAGAGCTGTACATCAGGATCCATGCTTCCAGTATCCCTGGATCCATTTTTATAAGATGGATCTTTACAGATTTGAGACCATCCACTTGGTTTCTCCTTTACTTGTTGAAGACCTACAGACATAAAGGAAATAAATTAAGGCAAGATATGGGGAAATGAATTTGGTTTTGTCTGAGATGAAAATAACTTTTGAAAATTAGCTACTACTTACGTGTGATGATTGGATCAATGTCTCTTGTCTGAGTAGCAACATCAGAGGCACAAACTTGCCCTATTTGAATTAGCAAAGACATAATATCCTCATACAGTGGAGGAAATGCTCGACAAAAAGAGACCAAACTTGGAAGTGTTGGCATGAAAAAAGCATACCGCTTAGCCTGTGTTAGAACTGTTGGAAAGAAATGAAACAGAATTTTTTATTTTCCAAATATAAATTCAACATAGACAACCTACAAAACAAATAAATGCCATATTCTGGGCTGGAGATACTACACTTTCTAAGACGCTGCCCACCCTGCTTTTAGACACTTTACACTCTAGAAGTTAGCCATCACTATGCCCAAGCACTGCAATAGGTCAACTGAATGCATTATTTCATTTCATTCTCACAATGGTCTCTTTTTTTTTTTTTTTTTTTTTGTCTTTTTGAGATAGGGTCTCTTCTGTAGCCCCAGCTAGCCTGGAACTCACTATGTAGAACAGGCTGGCCTTGAACTCACAGAGATCCACCTGCCTCTGCCTCCCAAGTGCTGGGATTAAAGGTCACCAAGCCCGGCTGAGAAAACTTTTAAGTAAACTTTAGAGAAGTTAAAAAAGAAGGCTGCCAGGCATGGTGGTACACACCTTTAATCCTAGCACTTGGGAGGCAGAGGCAGGCGGATCTCTGTGAGTTCAAGGCCAGCCTGGCCTACATAGTGAGTTCCAGGACAGCTGGGGCTACAGGGAGACCCTGTCTGAAAAAAAAAAAAAGAAGGCTAAGACTGAGGAGACAGTACAGTGGTAGAGTTCTTGCCTAGAGTACACAAGGCCCTGTGTTCAATCCCCAGCCCTAGGAAGAAAACAAAAAGCTTGTTCTAAGTAACACAATAGTTAGAGTTAAAACTGCGAATGACTAGTATAAACTCTTAATCACTAGAAATTATTACAACATGAAGTTGAAACAATACAAAGAAAATGCTTATGTTTTAAAGTAGTTTATTTTATACCACTTAACCCTTTAAATTAGAAGGTGGTTAAAACATCAGGATAAGTTGTAGAATTTAAGGAAACAGCTAATAATATATTGATGTCATTTTCACTTTTTTTTCTGGAACTGAACACATTTGTAATTGATAATTTGTTTTCTACTGTCATAGAGATTTGATTTTCATTTAAAAAATGAAGAATGTGGTACTGGAGAGATAGTTCAGCAGTTAAGAGCACTGGCAGAGGACCTCCTGCAGAGAACCTATATTCAGTTCCCAGCATCCACATGGCAGCTAACAGGAGATCCAATGCCCTCTTCTGGCCTCCACAGACACCAGGCACACATGTGGGGCATTATATACATGCAGGCAAAACACTCATACACATAAAAAATAAAAATAAAATGAAGATGAAGAAAGCATTTTACTGTATCTATACATATTCATTCATAAAACAAAAGATACAATTTGCCTACTCATCCTTCTATAGTAAAAATCACATCTGTAAATACAAAATTTTTCAAAAGCATGGCACAAATTACAGTTATATATACTGTCATATTGACTCATAACAACACAAAAAAGCTACTAAGTCTCTAAGTTCAGAAAACACATGTAATAATTTTCCTTAGATATTTTTGTTAATTGGCTACACACCTGTTAGCAAAGTTCCCATAACATTGACAGCTAAGCGAGCCACACTAAGTGACTTTGGTAATGCATACTGGATACACAAGTGAGACAGCAACTGTATAGCAAATATCTGCAATACAAAATCCAAACGTCACATATCTCTTTGGAAAAATGTTAAGGACTGAGAATTATAAAATGTCCTCTATAACTGTATTAACAAGACTGGGAAATGATCAAAATTGTCTTCAGAGTTCCAAAATGCTCATTACCTGTTTTTCAAGTTCTGGCTGGGCAATAAGCTCAGGTATGAAATCCAGACAGATGTGCATAGATGGAATACCTGCCACTGTCAGAGGCAAAAGTTCACATGGATAGCCCTATCTCAGAAGAAAAGGAGAAAAAGTGAGAAATAACTGTAAGTCAGATACAGACAAAAACATAATTGAAGGTTTCCCTTTCACTCCCTTTCTGCAAAAACTACTCCAAATATGGTAGAATGTGTGCGTGTGCGTATGTGTCCTAGAATCTCATTTTTCTCACTTTTCTGATGCACTGAAACAAGGGTATATCACTTGAATACTAGGATTCAGAATTTTGATTTTTCTACATATTGCAAAAGATGCTCATTTCTCATTTTCAAATGATCCATATTTAATATACAAAACCCCCAAGAAAAATAAAATTCAACCACATACCATTGTTCTTTGAAAGCATACCTGAAAGTGAACAAGTTTAGCAATGTTGGGATCTGCAATGTACATTTGGTGCAACAGACAACAGATAAGGCACTGAACTTCTCGAAGGTTACAGAGCAAATTGTCTTCTCCTTCCTCTGTTTCCTTATTTGGAAGGCTGGTAGTAATAACACTTTGAATATTCCTGAGCAAGCTGTCTGTATTGGCACCTTTTGCTTTCTCCTCTTCAGTAGGTAAACAAATCTCTAAGAGAATCTGGACAGCTGCACTATCCTATAAGCAAATATGAAGTGGATAAAAGAAGTATCTGAGAAGTTGATCTGAAAACCAAATCTAATGTTTTTCAAAGGAACAAAAATGACAATAGTTTCTTTTAAAGCACATAGAACTGGGTACGTTGGCATACCTCTTTAATCCCAGCACTTGGGAGGCAGAAGCAGATCTCTATGGGATCAAGGCCAGCCTGGTCTACACAGCAAGTTCCACGCCAGCTGGGGCTACAGGGAGACCCTGTCTTAAAAACACAAAGAAAAAAAAAAAAAAAAAAAACCAAAAACACAACCCATAAACACCGTAAAAGTGATAGTTCTTAAAGCAGAACTGAGAAATTTACAAGAGAGAGTCTCACATTTTTAGAGTTACAAACCCCTAAATAATCTGAATAAAACAAACATATGTAAATAAACACCTTGCATAATTTCAGGGAGCTCAGGGCAGATCCACAGACCTCAGTTGAAGGACAGGCTTTCTGATTCAATGACATCTAAAACAGGCCCTAGTCAAATTTTCCTTCATCTTACTCTACTTTCCCCAGAATTCCATCTGATATTTCTCTATTTTCCCCTATGCTACTTCACAAAAGAGTAGCTTGACAGGTGATCTGTTTGAGGCTCCCATATAGGAAGAACTGACATTTTATAATATTATGTATTTATTTTTCTATTTATAGTCTGTCTCCAACATTTAATTTCCATTTCTACCATTTAACCTTAAACTGGGCTTAGTTATATACACCTTTAATTCCAGACTGGCCTCAAACTCACAGAGATTCTCTTGCCTCTGAGTTTGAGGCCAGTCTGGTCTTCATAGAGAGTTCCAGGCCAGTCCAGCCAGAGTTACAAGGTGAGACCCTGTCTCAAAAAAGAAGATAAGAAAAGAAAAAGAAAAAGAAAGGGGAAAAAATTATAATAATAAGGTTAGACTTACTTTGTAACTTGTACTTGAGGTTAAGGGCTTTGGGGTGGGTTGTGTTTGGTTTGGTTTTTGCTTGCAGTCTCTAGAGCTGAAAAGCTAGACATGAATCCTAACTCTACCATTTTCTAAATGTGTGGTCTTAAACAAATCATTTAATGCCTCTTGGTCTTGCCGTTCAGTCTATAAAAACGGAGGTGATGACTGCTACATCCCTCATAGGCTACTTATAAAAACAGAATGAGCTAATATATGTAAAGAACTTAGACTAAAATACAACATATATGTATGCTTTATACAGGTGATTATAATGACTCACAGTCCCTTATCCTAATTCTTGGGAAATATTTAATTTGAACCTCAGAAATGTTTTTTTTCTTTTGGTCTTTTTGAGATAGGGTCTCCTTGTAGCCCCAGCTAGCCTTGAACTCACAGAGATCTGATGGCCTCTGCCTCCTGAGTGCTGAATCTCAGAAAATGTTAATGCAATATTCTATAGTATCCCCAGCAGAGTCAGTTAGCACCTTGTATTGAGACATATCAATACTTCTTTAGGAATACATAACCAATATTTGCATTAAATTATCTCAAGACCATAAGTAGCATTTTATCAATTCAAGTAAAGATTTGTCACCAAACAAGTTCACATCAGGTCAAGTTTCTCTGTCAATTGAATTACAAAAGAAATGCCTCATTTTCACAGGTTATTGGGTTTCTAGACTAAAGTAATAGGCTAATAAAATATTTTTAAAAAAAGAAAAAGAAGGCTGGGCTTGGTGGCGCATGCCTTTAATCCCAGCACTCAGGAGGCAGAGGCAGGTGGATCGGGTCTATGTAGTGAGTTCCAGGCCAGCTGGGGCTCCAGCTATGGCTTCATAATGAGACCCTGTCAAAAAAAGAAAAAAAAAAAAAAAAAAAAAAGAAAGAAAAAGAAAACGAAAAAGAAAGGACCAAGGGTCTGGAGAGATAGCTCAGTGGTTAAGAGCACTTGCTGCTCTTCCAGAGACCTCCCAAGGTTAGTTCCCAGTACTCACATGACAGCTCATAGCTGCCTGCATACACTTGGTGCACATAAGACAGTTAAAGGATTATCTTTTGTTAAAATACAAATCTTAGCCAGGCGTGGTAGCACATGCCTTTAATCCTAGCACTTGGGAGACAGAGGCCAGTGGATCTCTGTGAGACTGAGGTCAGCCTGGTCTACATAGTGAGTTCCAGGCCAGCTGGGGCTACAGAAAGACCCTGAATCAAAAAAAACAAAAATAAATAAATATAAATCTTATTAAAATAGGCATTAAACATTCATCAGGAAGATGATTCCTGGTTGCAGTAAGAGAGTCCATCTGGTATTCAGAAGCAAAGGGAACATTACTGTAATAGATTCTGTAATAAAAGGAATGCACAATGTCAACAACATACATACATATAACATACATAGAGGACATAATGGCCATCTATTTGATTAAATTAGTTTTTAAAATGCCATTTAACTAAATTCTACTTGAGAAAAATTTACCTGAGCAGCCAGTAATGCATTTTTCAGTTCTTCTCTGGTAACTTCTGGGGCATCAGTTTGTCCAACCAAACCCATTGTATTGTTCTGAGAAGGTCTGTCTTGCTCTGCTGTTTCCTTCAGGTGGGCACTAAGGTAAGCTTTAGATGCAAGGAGATACCCATTCAGCATGTGTAGAGTAATATCCATCAGTGGGGGGCACCTTAAACAAAGAAAGAAGGAAAATATTATTAGAAAGAATTTAAATTCACAAGTAGCCAGAACATGATCAATTCAGTTTAAATAATTAGAGAAACCTGAAAAGCACAGTATAGTATCTTTTCCGAATGACATATTTATTCTCAAATAAAAATCTAAGCTGGGCATGGTAGTACTTGCTTACAATCCCAGCACTGGGGAAGCTGAGCCAGGAAGATGATCAAGTCAAGGCCAGCCAGGGCTACAAAGTAAGACCATGTTCTCCTCAAACATAAATGAATAGTTATTTATTATTTGTTGTTTTCTATATTTCAATATTATATAAATTCCATCCATCTTATCAGATACAATAATATAATGCAAACTATAGAGAAATATATTCCCATTGTGTATAAAATGATTAACCAGGGACTGGAGAGATGGTATAGATGGACTGGAGTACTGGCTGACCCGGGTTCGATTCCCAGCACCCACATGGTGGGTACCAACCATCTGCAACTCCAGGTCCAGGGAAATTTAATACCCTCTTCTGACCTCCATAGGCATTGCACAACACAGGAGCATTTACACACATGCAAGCAATACACTCATACACATAAAATAAAAATTAAAATATTTAAAAAACAAAATGATTAACCAGTAAATCTCTTAGACACATGCCTATAAAGAGGCATATTCTCTTAATTAATATGGAGGCTGTTTATTCTTTCCACTCCTATTTCTCTTAGAGGAAGATGGCATGATACTTTTGTATTCCAAGAGCGGTTCATCCATTTAATCTAAGGAAATTACTTTCCAAGTCTGTGTGCTCATCTACTAAATGGGTACACAACAGGCCTGATAGGCCTCAGGCAAGAAAACCACAAGTTCAAGGCCCGCCTGGGCAACTTAGCAAGAGTGTATCAGAAAATAAAGAGTAAAAAGGAAGGCTGGGAATATAGCACAGTGGTGAAGCACTTGCATAGCACACACAAGGCCCTGAGTTCTATCCCTAGCACTAAAAATAAAAAGGAAGTGGGGGGAGGGGCACCATAACAGGTGTACAGTTATCCATTTCCTCAAAGACTATGATAAAGAAAATAGATATGAAAAAGAAAAGTTGATAAATAAATGAATAAATAAATCAGTAACCACTAGAATTTTAAACGCCATGCCCTTAAGGAAAAAATAGAATTTTTCTTTCTCAGTCTTTATCCCTGAGAGATCTAGCATATGGCCATCACAGACATAATGGCTGTATTTACAATTGAAACATTGGAAACAGTAAAAATGCCCCTCTGCGTGAGCTAAATGAACTGTAGCAGTTCTGTGAAAAACTGAAGATAAAAATCATTTGAAATATTTTTTTTTATCTCAAATGTCAAACTAGACACTTTGAATCAATTTCTGGAAGACAATCCTGCTAATCTACATAGAGAGCTCTATGTAGCAGTTAAAAGAAATGAGGGAGAAGTATGCATTTGAACATGTAAAACATAATGAAACTATTGATGCCTTTGTTGTTTAGGAACAAAATGATCCCTACATGCTTTTCTTATGGTTGGCTGGTTAATCTTGAACTCAGCCTCGGCATATATGTATACTTCTTCTTTGTTATCTCTGTGTGTGTGTGTGTGTGTGTGTGTGTGTGTGTGTGTGTGTGTGAGTGTGTGGCTTATATTAAAGAACAGAATCAGCTCATGTAATAAAGTGCTACAGAAATAACAGTGCAAGGAAAAGTCGTGTCTGCATTAAACACAGGTAGGATTTTAATGCATTTATCCTTTCAAACTTAAACTTCAGAAAGCATTTTATGCTTTCCCTAAACTAACATACATGTGTAAAAAGCAAATGGCAGTTGCCATTGTAGAGCTTTGGGGAAGGTCTCCCTGTCTTGTTTGCAGTTTGGTGACGCTCCTTCAGACTTACACAGAATTCATTGACATGCATAGGCAAACTTTTGAGCTTACAACCATTCCATCAGTCCTCACTTCCTTGCATAAGTTGATCCATATTAATTAGGCAGCATGTTGCTCTTCTACTTGCTTGGGTCATTGCTTACAGGTGGTACTGGAGACTGAACCTAGGACCATTTTGGGCAAGTACTCTGCTCCTGAGCATCCACTGCTTATGTGTGTGTTTTTTTTTTAATCACCCATAACAATATATTTTTATTTGTAAATTTATAAAGTACAATGAAAAATAAGGTTTTATATATATATACACATGATAACACAGTTTCATCTGGAGCTCGATATGGAATTGGTCAAAACAGGTCAACAAGCAATTTGTCAGAATGAGAGCAAGGCTTCTCACTGTATACCTTTTCTTTCTGATTAATCTGTTTATATGTTATGAGAAGTTACATACTATTATATATGAAAAGTTTCAAAACTGCACAGAAAAGAATGAATATCATTATGAATCCCAAAGAACTCATAGTCTAGATTCCACAGTTATCTTCACATGGCTGTTATTGTTTTAGATGCAAGCCCACCCACTGTCCTACCAGCACTACTAGGATAATTCATAGCAAATCTTGATTATCACTTATGTATATATTTATATTGTGCAATTTCTTTTAAAACCATGAGAATGATCAGTTGGTAAAAATTAAACTTTTTTAAAAAAATAAAAAAGAATTTAAAGGCAAAACAAAGCAAATAAGGGCCGGGGTGCAGCTCAGAGGTGGAAGACACTCAGCAAATAAGGGCCGGGGTGCAGCTCAGAGGTGGAAGACACTCAGCAGGCTCAAGACTCAAACTTGAGCAGCCTAAAAATTTTTTAACTACAATATACATGCAAAGAACTGATATCATTCTTTTCCTTTTTAAATTTGTTTTTATGACAGACTCTTCATAATGAAACACATTATTTGGTATGCTAACTTTAAACTTAATTAAATGGGGAGGGGGGAGTTATAGCCCAGGCTGGCCTGAAACTCACTATGTAGCCCAGACTGGCCAAAAATTCATGACTCTTTTGCCTCAGCCTCCCAAGTGCTGGGATTACAGACATGTGCCACCGTGCCCAGCTTTGATAGTCTTTGTAGATGAAGAACTATTTAAGTCACTAATAGAGCAGTAAGTTAGAAAACCTTTCCTGAAATATAAACAAGAAAAAATAGCCAATAAATATACTAAAATGTTCAATCTAACAAAAAAAAAACATAAAACAGGAATACATCTTTCACATTTACTGTAAAGTATAAAAGAGAAAGTTAAAAAAAAAATAGACAATACAAAATGCTGTAATGAAATGTAACTGGTTCAGCCTTTCCAGGTGGCAGAAAGAAAAGATGAATCAAAAAATCTTTAAAATGAGCATGTTGCCAGGCATGGTGGCTCACACCTTTAAGACCAGCACTGGGGAGGCAGAAGTTGGGTGGATCTCTGTGAGTTCAAGGACAGCCTGGTCTACATAGTGAGTTCCAGGACAGCTGGGGCTACAAGGAGACCCTGTCTCAAAAAGATTAAAAAAATAAATAAATAATAAATAAATAAATAAATAAATAGCATGTTACTTTTTCACTAATTCCATTTTTGGCAATTTCATCTAAGGAAATTGCATGAGAAGATGTATGTAATACAGTGCACACTGATAACCACGAAATTGTAAATAAAATATCCAACAATAGAGGCTAGAGAGATGGCTCAGCAGTTAAGAGCACTGGCTGCTCTTAAAGATGACACAAGTTCAGTTCCCAGCACCCACATGGTAGCTAACAACCACCTGTAACTCCAGTTCCAGGCTTCTATGGACATTGCACATATGGGTGTACTTACATACATGCAGGCAAAATGCTCATATATATAAAATAAATAACACACAATAGGGAATTGGATTAAATATAGCATAGCTATAAATTGAAATACTATGTAGCCAATTACAAGAATACACATATATTAGTAAGTAAAGTTTCACAAGTAAAGCTCTAAGCTCAAAAAATAACTGCATACATTTTCACAGAATAATTTAACAGCCTCCCTAAACAATTAAATCACATGAGGTCATTCCGGTAAAGTCATCTACGTAAGTGGATTTTTAACACAAATCATTTGTTTTAGAAATGCTTGTTTTCAGATCAGAGAGATGGCTCAGTGGGTAAAGAAACTTTCGATGCAAGGCTAGGGATTTGAGTTGGATCTCCAGAACCCAAGCAAACATGGAAGGAGGGAACCAACTCCACAAAGCTGTCCTCTGACTTCCACATGTACATTGTGGCACACACACACACACGCACACACACACACACACACACACACACACACGAATACAACTTTAAAATAAATAGAAGAAGCCAGGCATGGTGTCACACGTCTTTAGTCTCAGTACTTGGGAGGAAGAAGCAGGAAGATCTCTGAGATCCAGGTTAGTCATTAGGGAGTTCCAGACCACTTGGGGCTAAAGCCTCAAAAAAAAGGGGGGGGATGGGGAATGGAGAGAGGGCTCAGTGGTTAAGAACACTAGAACACTGGCTGCTTTTGCAGAGGACCAGGGTTCAATTGCCAGCACCTACATGGCAGCTAACAACCATCTGTAACTCCAGTTCCAGGGATCTGGCGCCCTCTTCTGACCTCCACAGGCTTTGCAAAACACAAGTGCACTTACATACATGCAGGCAATACACTCATACACATAAACTTTTTTTTGGGGGGGGGGTGAGACAAATGAAATGCCTGTTTTCTAGATGTATAATTTACTGCAGGTTTATGTCTATTTATACTGTTTATTCTGCTGATTTTTTTCACCAAACTATATTTGGATGATTCTGCAGGTTTATCACTTTCAGAACGTTATACCACTGGTTGCCACTAAATGAGTAAATGTATAAGATATACCTTTTTTTTTTTCTTTGTCTTTTTGAAGCAGGGTCTCCCTGTAGCCCCAGCTGTCCTGGAACTCACTATGTAGACCAGGCTGGCCTTGAACTCACAGAGATCTGCCTGCCTCTGCCTCCCAAGTGCTGGGACTACAGGCGTGCACCACCATGCCTGGCTAAGATATACCCTTTTTATGTAAAATTATTTTGTATCTTGTGTGTGTGGTGTGTTGCATGTATGTTGTCTTGTATTGTGTATGGTTTATAGCATAGGGTTGGACACATGTAGATAAGGGTACACATGTACGTGTGTGCTCATACATGTGGAGACCAGAGTCAACGTCAAGTACCTTTTCTCAGTAACTTTTTTTGAGACACAGTGTCTCACGGAACCTGAAGTCCATCAATTTGGCCAGCTGGTTGGTCAATGAGAGTCAAGGAGCCTCCTTCCCTCTTCATCCACACCCAGCCCAGTGCTAGATTTACTTCATGCTTCCACACTTGGCATTTTACATGAGTTCTTAGGAATCTGAACTCAGGTCCTCATACTTGCACGGTAGGCACTTTGGCCTAACAGTCAAGGCCTTCTATAGTTTAATCTCAACTTAACTTTGAATCAGAAAGCATGCTCTTCTCAAAAATTAACCCTCTGCTCACATTATTCAATCAAAATACTTTCCCTTACAGTGGAGAATGAGAGTGCACATCTGTAATCTTAGCACTCCAGAGGCAGAAGTAGGAGGATCATGAGTGTAGGTCCAACCTGGACTATACAACGTTACAGACCAACCTGTGAGTTCAAGGCCAGCCTGGTCTACATAGTGAGTTCCAGGATAGCTGGGGCTACAGGGAGACCCTGTCTCAAAAAAACCAAAAAAAAAAAAAAAGTCAAAACCTAAACAAACCACATAAAGCATTCCTTGAGTATTCTCCACATCCATTACAATGTTTGGTTTTTGGTTATTTTTGTTTGGGGATTCTCTTGGCTTCTTTGGATTTGGTTTGAGAGGATTGTTCGTTTTTGTAATTTTTTTACTTATGTATTTTGTGAACATGTGTATGGTGGTACTGGGGGGGGGGGCATGCATGTGTGGAGATCAGAGGACAGCTTTCAGTTGTCAGTTCTCTCCTTCTACTATGTTGGTCCATGGGGGCCAACTCAGGATATCAGGCTTGGCAGTAGGCACCTTTACATACTGAGCCATCTCACCAGCCCATTTCTGTTTTTTGGTTTTTTGTTTTAGGCAGGATCTTGTTCTATAGGCTAAGCCGGCCTAGAACTTGCAGGTATGTGCCTGGCTACTATCTGTCCTTTGGAAGTTAGCCCTATGTCTTAGTTTGCCTTTAATTGCTGTGACAAACACTCTGACCAATACCAACTTGGGAAGGAAAGAGTTTATTCATCTTGCATCTCTTGGGTCACAGTTCATCACTGAGGGAGCCCAAGGTAGGAACTCAGGACAGGAACCTGGAGGCAGGAGCTGGAGCACAGGCCATGGAGGAATGTTCCTTACTGGCTTGGTCCCCTGGCCAGTGCTCAACCTGTTTTCTTATACAATAGTGGAGCACCTGCCCAGGAGTGGTACCACCCAATGTGGGCTGGGCCCTCCCACATCAGTCAACAATCAAGAAAATGCCCCACAGAGCACAGACCAGTCCAATGGAGGCAATTCCCCAATTAAGGTCCCCCCTCTACCCAAGTGTGTCAAGTTGACAACCAAAGCTATCCAGCACACCCTGTGTCCACCCTTTAAAATGCTACGCAGAAGAGATGGATGAGTGGTTAAGAGCATTAGATGCTCTTACAGAGGACCCAAGTTCAATTCCTAGCACCCACAAGGCAGCTAACAACTCTAACTCCAGTGCCAGGAGAACCAATGCCCTCTTCTAACCTCCACAGGCATTGTACAACACGGGTGCACTTGCATGTAGGCAATACACTCACATAAAATAAAATTTCAAAAATTATTTTTAAAAAAAGCTATTCAGGTTCTATATGACCATATGATTTAAAGTTTCACCAGAATTCTTTCCCTGTGCAAATGATAAACATTACAGACAGGCTGCTCAACTTATTTACTTTTAACATAACTTGTCATGACAACTTGAAATTCAAAAATTAATGTCTGAGTTCCACTTTTTGAAGCCATTTCAAAGCGAATGGCTAGGAATTAGAGATAAATGTAGAATCAATGAAGCTAACATCACAACTGATGATGCTAAAAAAGTTCACAATTTTAAAGCATGTAATGGTTCACAATGTATCAGTGTTTTTAAATTTTTCAAGCTGGACATGATGGCATCTGCTTGTAATCCCAGCACTAAATGGCTGAAGCAGGAAGATCAGGAGTTCAAGGTCATCCTCAGCTATATAGCGATACCTTGTCTCAAAATAAAATACAATAAAATAAAAAAATTTAAACATGATTACAGAAATGATTGTATTCTTTACTGGTGTTCATTTTAAGAGAAAGAGCCACTACTGATGGTGACCAAAACCAAGAATACCTTTTCTCTAAGGATACATTTTATTGCCCACATATTAGATATTATATTGAATATAATTTATGAATATATACAACTAAAAAACACTAAAAGCTGCAGAAGTTATTTTACATACTTATTTAAAATAACATTAAAATATTAAACTGAATTTCATTAATTTCTTTGATTTTTCCAAAGTATACCTCCATATGAAAAAAATGAAATAACAAAGGACACATACCTGTGAACCCGCCGATCACACCTTAGGACAATGAGAGGATCTATCATCAGATCATTCTGAGTATACTTTTGTTGTCGTACAAACTTTATAGATGGTTGAAGTGCATTAACTGTCATTACCCACAGCCTGATAAGAAAATAACCACATGTTCAAAACAGCTGTATTATAACTGAGTTTATACTTGTTCAATCCTTTGTATCTAAATAAAGTTATTTTCAGGATAAAAAGAAAAAAGAAAACAGGAATGAATAAGGCTTGAGAGTTGCTGAGACTTGGGTTATCCCTTTTGCTTTGTTTTTTTGTTTCTGAGAAAGGGTCTCATGAAGCTCAGGCTCGTCGCAAACTCACTATGTAGCTAAGGATGACCTTAAACCTTTTTTACTATTGGTGCGTGCGTGCGTGTGTGTGTGTGTGTGTGTGAGAGAGAGAGAGAGAGAGAGAGATTTCATTATGTGGCCCTAGCTGACCTAGAACACACTATGTAGACCAGAGTAACCCCCAACTCAGATATCTACCTGTCTCTGCCTTCAGAGTGCTGGAATTGAAGGTGTGCACCACCCACTTTCCTTGACCTTGAACTTCTGATCCTTCTGCATCCCCATCTCAACTGCTGCTGAGACCACAGGTTTGCACCACGATGATCAATTTATGCTACACTAGAGATCAAACCCAAGGCTTGACACAAGCTAGGCAAAGCATTCTACCAACTGAGCTACATCCCAGTCCTGGGTATGAATAAACTGAAAAATTAAAAACCAGACATCTAACCTATTATTATATCTCTTGTAGATTAAACAATAAACAGAGTAGTTGCAAAAATCTTCAGAGTTGTAATGGAACACTCATTGCATCTAAATTGAAAAGGAAGTAAAACCTCAGTTCTATCTACCACATTTGGCTTATTATGAGGAATAATTTAATAACTGTAAATAAATATATCACAATTTGAAACTATACTGGCTCCACAGTTCTCATTATTCTACATTATTATCCTAAGTCTCTATGTGAGATGCCACTTTGAAATCTGACGCTAATAGATTACAGAAGTGGTGACTAAGCTAACTGCACACAAGAATGACTGCGGGGTAAAGTGATATGGAGGGTGCCAAATCTCTCATTGAAGCCCAGGAATCCACCAACTCAAACACACACAGAACTTGTCACTGTGAATATGAATGGACACACAAAGATCAGCCATTTGTGAAAAGCTTTCACTTTGAAAAAGATACACAATAGAAAATGTTCCAAATACACAACAGAAAGAAAAAACTCCAAAGCAATAGAAAATATAGTAACTACATTAAAGAAAGAATTTTGAGGGGCTGGTGAGATGGCTCAGCAGTTAAGAACACTGATTGTTCTTGCAGAAGACCCAGGTTCAAATCCCAGCACCCACATGGCAGCTAACAACTGCCCATAATTCCAGTTCCAAGGGATATGACAGCCTCTTCTGTCCTCCATAGGCATTGCATGACACAGGTGCACTTACCTACATACAGGCAATAAATTTTTTTAAATAAATAAAGAATTTTGAGGCAGAGTCTATGTATCCAAGGCTACTCTGGAACTCATGATCCTCCTACCTTATCTCCTGAGTTCTAGGATCATAGGCATGTGCCACCACATCCAGCCTTCAAAACAATATTACTGCTATCCTTAAAGAATAGAGTATTTCAGGTTGGAGAGATGGCTTTGCCATTAAAGGCTCAGGCTCACAACCTGAACATAAAGAATACAGTGTTTCATACATACTAGAAAGAGGCATTTAAATATATTCAGGTAAGAAAGAGCTCTTAAAATACCCAGGCATGTGCTAGAGAGATGGCTCAGTGGTTAAGAGCACATACTGCTCTTCCAGAGGACCCAAATTCAGTTCCTAGTATCCAAGTCAGGCAGCTCACAACTGCCTATAACTCCAGCTCCAAGAACTCTGGTGACCTATTTTGTCTACCTGTACTCACAAGCATATACCCACATATTCACACACAAATACAAACATAATTTAAAATAATAATTTATAGGGCCTGGAGAGATGGCTCAGGGAAACCCAGGTTCGAATCCCAGCATGTGACTCTAGAGCCAGGGATCAGACACCTCTTCTGACCTCCACAGGCATTGCATGACAAGGGTGCACTTACATACATGCAGGCATGACACACATACACATAAAATGAGTTTAAGAATAAATAAATAGTTTTTTAAAAATACCCAGTCAGGCTGGAGAGATGACTCAGCAGTTAAGAACACTGGTTGTTCTTGCAGAAGACCCAGGTTCGAATCCCAGCACCCACATGGCGGCTAACTCCAGTCCCAGGGGATCTGACAGCCTCTCCGTGGGCATTGCACAACATGGGTGCACTTACCTACATGCAGGCAATACACACATACACATACACATAAAATAAAAATAACAAATAAAATTTTAAAAAATACCCAGGCATGTCAGGAGTGGTGGTGCATGCCTTTAATCTCAGCATTTTGGAGGCAGAAGCAGGAGGATCTCTGTGAGAGGGAGACAAGCCCGGTCTACATAGCAAGTTCCAGGTCAGCTGGGGCTTTAAGGAGACCCTGTCCTGTCTCAAAAAAAAAAAAAAAACAACAACAACAAAAATACCCAGGTATAATGATACGTACTGGAGCTCTCAACACCTGGGAGGTTAAAGGAGTAAGTTTTCAAAATAAGGACCAGCCTCAGTGAATTCCAGGGCAGCCTGCACTGCAAAATGAGACCCCATCTTGGAAACAAAACAAAGAAGATGGATGGATGGATGGATGGATGGATGAAAGGAAGGAAGGAAGGAAGGAAATGAATATAAAGCATTAAGGATATAACAGTAATTTTAAAATTCGAAGTGAAATCAAAAGATCACATTGAGCAAATAACCAGAAAATCTCATCAAGAGACAAAAGAAAAAAAAACAATAAAGGAAAACAAGAGTAAATCAAAGAGTAAGTTCAATATACAAGAGGCTTTTTTGTTTGAGGGTTTCTGAGAGAGGCTCTCAAGATGTCACTCTGGCTGGCCTCACACTATACAAGCTGAACTCAGATCCTCTTGCACAGACTCCCAGCATTTACAGCTATGCCCCTATGCCCAACTTTAAACGAGTGAGCTCTTTTTTTTTTTTTGGTCTTTTTGAGACAGGGTTTCCATGTAGCCCCAGCTGGACTGGAACTCACTATGTAGACCAGGCTGGCCTTGAACTCAGAGATCCACCTGCCTCTGCCTCCAAATGCTGGGATTAAAGGTAAGCGCCAACATGCCTGGCAAAATAAGTAAACTCTTTTCAGAGCCACATTCCCTTTAGTCCAAGAGGTTTGTGTTAATTCCTTTTGTGTCACTGTGATTGAATTACCTGACTGAAGAAACTAAGGAGGAATTATTTGTGCTCACAGCTTCAAAGGGTTTAGTCCATCAGGGCTCAGAAGGCAGGGGAGGCAGGGAGGCAGGGAGACAGGGAGGCAGGGGAGGGAGGGGAGGGAGGCAGGGAGGGTAACTGAGGAAAACTGGCTAAGTATCAGGTAGATGATCTAATCGGTAAATTTTGCATCTGTTTAGGGTACAAGCAAAGCAGGAGTATGAAAAAAGGAGAAACAGCTGGATGTGGTGGTGTGCGCCTATAACACAGCACTTGGAGATGGAGGTAGGCAGGGAGGCAGGGGAGGCATTGTGCAACAGCTGACCAAATGGCAGAGAAGCAAAAAGGGAATGCTGGCTTTCAGAGACCTTTCCTTGTTTTCTTCTTTTATTCCCTCTAGACACCCAACCAATGGGTGGTACTGCCCGTATGGAGAGTCTTCCCCACCTCAGTTCATTCTCTCTGAAAAACCCTCACAGACACATTCAGACACTTGCCTCGCCAATCTAAATTCAATCAAATTAACATGAAGATTATTTACTATCACAAGGTTTACAATCCAAATTATAAAAAACAAAAAGTTCCAGAAAACAGTAAAGTTAGAAAAGAATAATAAAAAAAAAAGCCAACCAAATGTGAATGAAAAAAAAAAAGATACAATTATTAAATTCCAGAACACAAAGGGGGAAATCTTTAAAGCTTTTTATGAGAGAAAAAAATAACTGTCATGTACAAAGGGTTGGAAAGTGATAAAACGCCAAGTTACTAATAGCCACAGTGGAAATTCTAAGTCAGGAGAATGCTGCCTTCAAATTTATGAACTAGACTTCTATACTTAGTTAAATGCAACCACATGTGAAAATAATAAAACTTCCAAAGTCTTTAAAAACAAAAAAGCTTCCCCTACACATACCCTTTCTCAGGAAGCACTGGAGTATGTGTTCCATGAGAAAGTAAACCAAGAAAAAAAACATGGAGGCCAACAAAGAGGGAGACAGCAGTAATTCTATTCTGATAACAACTGTGTTTGCCCCAAATGGGAAAATTAAGATAGAAAGCTCTCAAAGAAATGTCCCCATGAAAATCAGGTTACTGATAAACTACCTTGTGATATATTGGGGATTACCCAGTTATTGGTTATTGATGGCAAAACAAAAACTAACGCATGGAAAAGAGGCAAGTGTTACAGTGTTATGACAAGTACGGGGGAGAGCACTTGCATAAGAAAAAAACCAGCTGGGTGTGCTGGTACATGCCTTTAATACCAGCAATTAGGAGGAAGAGTCAGGCAGATCTCAATGAGACCAAGGCCAGCATGCATAGTTTCAGGCCAGCTGGGGCTATACAGTAAAATCGTGTCTCAAAAAAAAAGAAAAAGGCCGGGTGTGGTGGTGCATACCTTTAATCCCAGCACTTGGGAGGCAGAGGCAGGCAGATCTCTGTGAGTTTGAGGCCAGCCTGGTCAGGTCAGCTAAGGCTATAGGAAAAGAAGGAAGGAAGGGAGGGAGGGAAGAAGGAAGGAAGAGAGAAAGAAATAAATTATTAGGCCTTGGAGTATAGTTTAGTGAAAAGTGCTTGATCCCCAACACCAAAAACAGAAAAAAAAAAAAAAAAAAAAAAAAATTGGAGCATATTGAGAATATTGCGTCAGAGGCTAGGCATGGTGGTGCACGCTTTTAATCCCAGCACTTGGGAGGCAGAGGCACGTGGATCTCTGTGCGTTCAAGGCTAACCTGGTCTACATAGTGAGTTCCAGGACAGCTGGGGCTAC